GAGAGTGATTGAACTGGATAAAAGCAAAACAGAATTCTATGTTTCCACCTCAGGGGACTAGATTTTACTCTTTGACAGTTCATAGCATTGGAATAGATTATACATTTTGCTTCTTTCCTTCTCAGATGGAACAATGGAAGCATTAATGACTAACAGACATGCCTTTGAAAAAAAAAAGTATGATAAAGAAGGCAAAATTCTGAGAGCGAGTCAGATTCTTGCTCTTGGGTTGCTTTTATTCTGACACTTCTCAGATACAGCGCAGCACGCATATTTTAATGTGGTTCTGCTTTTACTGACGTGAATCAAGTAACATAATCAAACTCACACAGGGCCACGTTCTGCCACTTTATTTGTGCTGAATAGCTTTGTGAGCGGCCCCATTGACTTGAATGGAACTACACCTCTACCCCGATATAATGCTGTCCTCGGGAGCCAAAAATCTTACCGCGTTATAGGTGAAACCGCATTATATCGAACTTGCTTTGATCCGCCGGAGTGCGCAGACCCCCCTGCCCCCCCAGAGCGCTGCTTTACCGCATTATATCCGAATTCATGTTATATCGGGCCGCGTTATTGGAGTAAGGGACTATTTCATCTGAGCAGAATCTGACCCATAGAGAGTAGCTGCCTTATTCCCAAATCTCTTTGCTTCTTATTCCTTTTGGGAATGTTTGAATGTCAGCCAGATTCTGGCACCTTTTCTCACAATGAGTAGTGACTTACTCAATGAGGCATCCTATTGAAGTCAAAGGGACTCCTCGTGGAGTCGGAGGGGCTACGCAATGTGAGTAAGGGCAGCCGAATCCCTATTTACACTGCTTTTAGTGAATGCTTGAAAACGTGATAAGACAACCAGAATTTCTGTAGTAGTGGAATTACTGAAATTCCAACCTGAGCAGGATTATTGATATAAAGAAATTTTTCCCAGGGTGAAAATTTGCCATTATTTATAATGTAATATATATCTCCTAAAGTGCTACTTCTGAGCCCTCATGAAATTAAGAGCATTTTATACCAGACTTTGATTCACAATTGTCTAATATCAATGACGGAGAGATAAATTAAATTATTGATTGAGGATGTAATCCAGTGAGGTTTGAGTTGATAAACCTAGGGAAAAACCACAAACTTAGAGAGAAAGAATGTCCTGCAAAAACGTGATCAAACTCCTCTGGTCCTAGAAAGTTCTTGAGTAGCTCAGAAGCAAAGCTTTAGGCTTAAAGCCAATGAAAGTCAGAGAAGCACATAAATGGTTATTACAGGCATGAAATACTAACCTGCACCTCACACCAGTCTAGAGTTTGAATAGTTCCCTTTAGGGATGAAACAAACAGAAAATGATCAGGTGCTAGCAATCTGAGATCAACTAAATCATGGTAAAATATCTCCAAAAGCCTGTTTTCACCCCAAACACATAGCTCTCGAGCACTGAATCCTGTCATGTTACCATTTGTCAGAAAAAATCTGTATAACATATGCCCCGATGCATTCTCTACGTAGAAGCTGCTACAGTTCAACTGCGCAGTACAGTATCAATGACATTCATCCCACTGAATAAGTTGTCTCCCACATTAAAATGCAGAGAAGAACTTAGACCCATTTAGAAGCTTTGTCATTAAATAGTTTTCTTGTCAATTGATCCATTGTGTGCGTGTATTTCAGACTACTGGATCTATCAATTGCCAGGGGAAAAGTGACAACAGGTCTTAATCAGTTAAGCAGGGAAGTACTGCTTGAGGATCCCCTTTGGGATTCAGGTCATTTTGGGCCTCACTGTGGAGCAGGAAGTAGCAACAAGTAGCAACTGGAAGGTTGACCTGAAGCAAAGGTGAGTGGAACACTACTGTAAGCAAGAGCAGCACAAACCTTTCTCTGCTCCCTTTTTATGAATTGTACGAGCCATATTTTCTGCTGAGATTCTCACCCAAACTTGTTTCCAAACTTGCAGACTTTTCTCTATCTATATTACACACTCTGCGACTTGTGCTATTCAGTTAATTTCTGCAAACGTGAATAGTCTGTGGTGTTCTCAGTGGTGCATAACCGCTGCCTTGCTTACTCTGATTTGTAAGAGCAGCTGTACATATGTGTTTTCAGTTAGTACACTGAGATGGAATTGCATACATTAATGCATTGAAATGAAATGATTCCTTTTGTGATGAATGGTCAATAGATTCCTGTCCATGAAATGTAATGTACCTCAAACTGTTTAAAAAAAAAAAAGATGTAATTTCATCAAGGGGTTCTGTTGACATCAGCCGCCAGAGTGAAGTGTAACTGATTTGTTCATATCGTCAGAGACCTAAGATATAATTGTAGCTCTAAAGTCTGTATGGGAGCACATTCAGTATTATACATAGTTACCAAAACTTCTCCCTCTCTCCACGTCAGTTGTCCTGTGCTCACTCTCTTCTCCAATCTAAATCTCGGGCCTCCATGACCTATAGCTTTTCTCCTTATGCCCCGTACATGTTTCTGGCCTTCCTGTCTGCCCCGACACCCAACTTGGCAGTTTGAATTTTTAAACTGTTGTTGACATTTCAGAAGAATTTTTTTAAATAATTTTCATTTTTGCAGAATGCCTTACAAAATATAATAGGAATGAAAGTAAAAAGAAAACAAAACATTCTTGTAGTATTTCTCCAATATATTAATCAATGTGATATTTTCCATTACATAGTGTTATAAAGTTAGTCTTGCTTGATTTACAATTCATGGCTTGTTACCAGGTATTGTTTTTGTTGTCATCCTCAGACAAAATTTTATCTCCAATTGGGTCTTCTCTTCTGTATTTTTTGTTCTTGTCCTCATCAGTGGAAAGTTTCTCACTCAGCATTTCATTTAATACTTAGAAAAATTATGTAAGTTCTTCATTGAACATACTTTATCCAAACAGGAATAAGAAGCAAGATACCTAGATATTTGTTAGCTTTTAGTCCCTCTTGCTGAATTTAATTTGATGCATTAATTTTTCCATTACCAGTAATATCCCAACCACTATGGCACCAAGAATTAACAGAGAAGAGTGTTTTCTTTTCTCAATTTCCAGATAACAAGAGCCGGGCTACTACTAAAAGTTTGCTGTTAAAGATTTATGTTCTTTAGGTCACATAATTAATTATGAGACCTAAAATTATCACTGATAGGCCCTTAAGAAGTCCTGATTTGATTCATAATCCTGTCCCAATAATCTTCAGCCTCTGAGCAGTCCCACAAAATATGAACCTTTCTATAGCCCCTTCTCTACTCTAGCAGCATCACTATTATTTATTTGTACAGGGCCACTAAATGTTACACATCTCACATGACATCCACATGTATTTGGCAAATCTGTCATGCCTGTCAGCACCCCAGGTCAATGCAAGAAAGAGACTTTTTGGCCTAGGAGACGGTGTACTGGGCTGTGAGTTCTGCATTCTGTTTTCCCCATTGACTAATTGGTGTTAATATTTCTGTGCAGTTCACAACCATTATTATCCTCCTATCCCTGTCCTATGAAACAGGAAAAGATCATTCACCCATTTTACAAATAAAGGAGCGGAGGAGATACACAAATTAGGGCAGCTTTACAGCTTCTTCACTGTTCTATGCCCAAGAAATCCTAGAAAGAACCACTTACTTAGTGGTGGGCTTAATTAGTTAATGTATGTACTGCACTTGGAAAATGTAAAGTGCCCCGTGTAAGTACTAGCAGGATTATTGTATGCACAAATACTTGATGTAATATAGCTAACCCTGTAACTTTGCACAGATCACCAAACGTCATGTCTCTGATTATAAGTAGGTTTCTCCTTAGTAAAGAAATTGTTAATAAAAACAGTGAGTTATATCCCATTCCTCTACAATATACTATGAAGCCAATTACTAAACTGAAAAGTAATTTGGTATTAAGAATGTTGTCGTGTAGTTAAAAATACATCTTGAAATTCAGCCACTACATAAGGACATGTTGAGAATTAAAACTTATCCCCCTTCTTCAGAGCTAAGAATTCATGAGAAAGCTCAGGTGAAGATCATAAATATTCTGACAACCTAAAGATTGAGAAATTTAATCTGTGACCCTCACAATTAATTTTATTTCCAATTGATCGTCATAGAATCAGATGAATACTTATGCTAATAAAAAAATCAATTCAATGCTTAAAGTTCATTTGTCCAATTTTGTTTTTCATATTTACAACATTATGATTCATTCACCAGAATAATCAAGGATTTAGAAATTAATATATAAGCCTGGTGTGCTACAGTTAATTTAAAATTCTCTGAATAATAAATCTGATCAAATACTATAGAAAGCAAGTACTATACGTGCTGATTATAAATCAGCTTGGTGTAAAAGTTCAATTGTCTGATCTCTTCCTTTAATGAAATTACCATATTTCATACAAAGGAATATTCTTGGCCATTGATTACAATATTTGTCTTAGAAAGACTTTTCATTGAAGTACAAAGCATTGTTGTTAATTATTATGTATAGAAGAAGAAAAAACGTATTATTAAAAAATGAATGAGGTTGAAACAAGACAATAGGAAATACAGAATATATGGTCTCTATCAAACCTTTAAATGGGTATAAGTTCTTTGGGTGATGTGTTTGTACAGTGCCTAGCACAAAGTGATTGTGATTAATCCATGATTGGGGACCATAGGTGCTACCCTAAAGCACTTAAATAATAAAAGGAGTTATTACAAATACAGGCTACTAAAATGTCTATGCCTCATTTTCACATCTTGGTTTACCCATGAAGTTCACACTCATGAGCACTTCCAGAAATTAAGAGAGAACTAGAAGAGCATTCTGGGCACTGACATACAAATAATTTCATGGAATTTATCTCATTTGTATGCATAACATAGTGTTCAGAAATAGCCAACATTAGTATTTTGGCCACTAGATGGCAGTGATTTTGAACTGTATCTTTAATTTACTATTTCTGTTTGGTAGTCCTTTGTGGTTGAAAGACAGGAAGCTTAACATCCAGTACTTTCCTCTGTCAGTTTGTTATTTACATGAATACACAACAGTGCCATTAACCCAACTGCTCTAAAAGATTGTCTGTTTCTGAGCAGTGTATGTTTCATCTCTGGCTAGGAATAAACCAAAAAGTTTTGATGTGCCTATCCTGATTTTTTTGCTGTGCTTTGCAAGAAGGAACTGGGAAAAGCTTTTTTAGCCTCCACAACTTCTTGGGGGTAGGAATTTTTTATTTATAAAAATAAATGTTTTTTATTTGTCAGATAAAATATTGGTAACAGGTATTAATTAGAAAAGCAGAACTAGGAGTCAATCTAGCATTCCAAATTATTTTGTCATCATGCTATCACAATTGGAGTTTGTAAAGGGTATAGATGTCAGGGGAAAAGAGCTCTAATACAGACACTCTGTCCACATGTTTATGCTTTGAGAGAAGACTTAAATTATTGGTTTAGCAATACTAGCAAATCTTTTGAGTCCAGCAGAGAGAGAGGTGACTTGGCTACATTTGCAACCAGAATGGTAGGTGTTTGTATTGTAGTTTCCACCTATTTGAAATCTTGAATCTAGATGAGGGATAATTGCAGCATTTTCATGGAGAGAAAGGAAACTGTACACAAAAACGAACCAAGGCACAACACCCTGGTCAAGAAAAGGGTTGACTGAACTGTAGTACCCCTAAAAGCAACATATCAGGGATTGCAAATTCTGGAAAGTTCATTCCTGACAAAGGTCTCTGAAGAAGTTCAAGAATCAGAAGTGGAAGTATTTCTGTCCCTCATTTCAGAGTGAAATAATTGCCTGAATACATATGAAGAAACCCACTGCTTGCAGCAGCTTTGGCAATATTATAGAAAATCCACTCTACTTTTGCCAGAAATGTAGAAATTTATCCTCCTTTTTGTTATTTCCTGCAGTAGAAAACCCTGAATTTCTTCCAAGGTATGACAGCAATATGTTTTAGGACGTGGTGAGGAAAGAAATTGGCTGATCTTTTTGGGAGCCTCAGTGGAGCTATTTTCTAGCTGAAGAGTTGTGTCAGTATTTCAGTGACTTTACACCCACTCATTTGTTGTTGTTGTTTGTTGCAAATCTGCCTGTAAGGCACTGCTTTTAAAAGCTACATGTAAAGCAGAGCTCAGTCTTTTATACTTAAGGTTGTATGGAGATACAGGTTAAGTGAGCCAAATGCCCAGTTTTTCTAAGATTGGAAGGAGCCTGATTAAATATTCTTCCCTCCCTGCAAACCAGTTCTTTGAGGGATTTGTATTTTGTAAGAATGTATTTAGATAGAGAGAAATTTGAGCATGTGTCTGAATATGTATATATTGCAGATGACTTTGGCAAAAAAATGATCATGTAAATTGCAATCTGTGTTGCAGAGAGCGCCTAAGATAAAAAGGGTGAAGCTTCTCACTCTCCCCTTTCTCCCTGTTTTTTATTTTATTTGCTATTCTTTTCTTTCTCCTCACTCTCATTTCTTTCCATTCTCTCTAAATTTATTGGAATAATAAGTAGAGAAAAAATGACTATTTAAAAAAAAAAGACGAAACCTTTTTCTGTATTGTTTGGGCTTATTCATGGAGACAAAAACGTTTTGAATTGTCGTTTGTAACACATTTATTTTTGAACCTGGGGATTGTATCTTTCAAGAGCAGTACAGATATTTTAAAGTGAATTTTTCATACTGTTTTAATGACATGGCTCTGCAGTTTACCACCTGGCTATCACCTCTATCTATGTGATAAGTCACTTATAGATACACTGTACACACACCCACTTAAATATTAATATATATTTATAATGTATATATACATCTATACAAATACATATTTATAGTGCATCTGTGAAAATTCAGCAGTTGCTGTACTATGTCAGAGTGCATAACGAATTCGAAGCACTTGAGGCTCTCCCAAATGACATAGAATCAGCTTGGACAGCCACAGGCGCCCCTCCCCCACACTTTTGTGTGTGTGTGTGTGTGTGTAACTACACAAACACATTCTATACATATCTGTGTGTGTACATGTATGGTGTGTATGTGGGTGGATAATGTGCATATAGACTGAAACTGAAAATAGGGAGGTTATTATCTAATCTATTTTTAAAAGTTTCCATTAGTCCAAATGTTGCTTCATCAAGCTTTTATCATAGCTGAATAATTAGGTAGAGTGAACTGTGATTATTCATCTCTCTACCTCCAGTCTGCACAACATACAGGAAGTGTAATCATTTTGCTTTGGGTCATGCCCAAAGAGTTATCTAATCAAGTTGAACAATATAATAAATACCATGGGGAGGGGGTGGGGGGTGGGGAGGAGGTTATGCTCTGGCCATCCTATTAGGGGCTACAAAGAGCTCCAGTATTTCTCCTCACAGATGAGATTATTGATCTCTGTAGCACTGATGACAGTTAAAAAGTACAATTTTTAAGAGGGAACAGTAGAGACTACCAGTTCTGATGCCAATTCTTGTTGATGATTTGGGCCCTGCCATTTGTGACAATCTTAGAAATATTAAAGGACAGTTTTGATTTACTGGGGAAAAATCTTGATTTTGTATAATTTTTGGTAATCAGAAGCTTTGGTTGCATATAATCTTCCAGTGCTTCTGGCGCAAAGACAATGTTAACTTTGGTAGGCATAGGATGGGGGAAAAAACACTGTGTATGAAACCAATGAGATCCAATTGGATAATGAAAAGACTGGCACCCAAATACATGGTGTAAGGACATTTTATATATGATAGACAAAGGAGAAACTGCTGCGGGCATTTGTTACAGAGACAAAAGACTGGCAGAGAGTGAATCTGAAGAATTCCTGGACTGACTTTCCCTGCTTCCTCCACTGCCGGAGCCTTTCACTGCGGCAGAGAAAGGCTCCAGCAGTGGGGAGGCAGTAGGACATGGGAGGCACTTCTTGGGCGTGTAGGGAGCCTATGTAGGGAATATACCCTGTGGGTTCAGGCATGCAGGGTACTATACTCATCTAAGGCCTTTTCTACACTACCAGGGTAAATCGACCTAATTTACGCTAATCCAGCTACACAAATAACGTAGCTAGAATCAATGTAGCTTAGGTCAACTTACTGCGGTGTCTACACCACGCTGCGTCGACGGGAGATGCTCTCCTGTCGACTTACCGTATTCCTCTCGTTCATGGTGGAGTACCGGAGTCGACCGGAGAGCGCTCTGCTGTCGATTTAGCAGGTCTACCCCCACTGCATCGATCGCAGCAGCGTCAATCCCCAGTAAGTGTAGACATAGCCTAAACCATGCCTCACTGTCTACACTGCCGTTTATACCTGCGCTAGCTTGCCATACAGGGTCCATTCTCTACACACGCTGCATGTGTAGACATACCCTTTGAGCTTGAAACAACAGGATCAAAAGCCAGAAGGCAAATAAAAAGAACCTATAATTCATTATTTTATTTAAAACTCATGTTTTGGGGGGGCCTGATTCATGATTTTTGAATGCTCTGGTTTGGCACTACAGATATTCAGTCAGAGAAGATATGTGAGAGTACTGTAATAGGAAAGCTTGATGCGAGTGATTACAGCTGCTTGAATTAAACAAAGTAAGCTATGGGAACAAAGAGCCTGATCCAAACCCTGGTAAAGTAAATAGAAAGATTCCAATTAACTGCACTGAGCATTGGATCAGGCCCATATTAAAGAAAATGAGTTGATAATACATACCGTCTTTTACTTTATAAGAAAAGTAGTAAGTGTGATGCCATGGAAAGAAATATTTTTTTTAAAATTCATGCGTTTGGAAGAAGGCTGGAGCATATTGAAAGAAACCACAGTTACAGCATACCTAACTACAGTTCCCTTGTGAGAGAAAATAACATAGCAAAGGAAATGGCCAATATGGCTTCCCAAAGACTGCTTGTCAGACTCGGTCAAGGCCCACGGGGAAAAAAGATCAGGACAGCAAAAAAGCAGAATGAGTTAATGCTCATCAAAGGGGTTAAGAAGAATAAGAAATACAGTGCTAGAGAAAGTTGACCCATAATTTAAAGAGGAAGGAGATAAAGTTAATGATTATAAAATGGTGGAGATACGGAATTGGTTTTTTAATTGGGGTTTAGCAAGAAAAACGAGGAAAAGGGATATGGGCAATTAGGAGAATGGCAATATTGTAGCTGTTGAGAATAAGCACATAAAACACTTGGCAAACCGGAGTGTATGTAAATCAGCAGGCCCTGGTGACATACTTCCCAGAGTGTAAAAGGAATTAAGAGGTTGGGGAGTATTTCTTATGGAGAAGTGCTGGAAGAGCTAAATAAATATGACATAGCTAAGCAAAAGTTAGAAAGACAAGAACTGCCATACTGGATCAGATCAATGATAGCCTATCTCTATAAATTGGCAAGTACCACGTGCTTCAGAGGAAGGAGTACAACTCCCATAATTAAGAGAGAATATAAGGATAATAGTACTTAACACCTTTCATTTTGAGAAACATGAAATACTCTTCAAACACGAATTAATTCTCATGATACCCTGTGTGGTAAGGGACTATAAATAAGTTTATTTTACAGATGGGGAAACTGTAGCACAGAGTGGTTAAGTGACCCACCCAAGGTGACACGGCAAGTCAGTTTCCGAGTCAGGAACAGCACCCAACCTAGGAATCCTGACTTGCACTCCAGTGCTCTAATTCAGGGGTCGGCAACGTTCGGCACGCGGCTCGCCAGGGTAAGCCCCCTGGCGGGCCGGGCCAGTTTTATTTACCTGCTGACGCGGCAGGTTTGGCCGATCGCGGCCCCCACTGGCCG